CTCTTGGCTTCGGAACAGATAGAAAACTATAGCTCATGTTTACTCACTGTTCAAAAGCCATATTACAATAATTGGCTTTAATTGTAAAAGATGCTTCTGCTAGTTATCCACACTTAGTTTACTTTCACTTTTGAACTCTTCCTGCCTTCTCTATTTTATCATATTGTCGGGATGCAAAAGGAATTATCCTATGGCCCTCTGGGTTCTTCTAGACTGGAAAATAATCAAATATCAGCGAAAAAGATTAATAACAACATATCCATGAGAAAGATCCACAGGGCTTCAGATTTCATCTTAAATAGCTAAGGGTAGGGGGGAGGGAAGGTCTATAAGTGAGTTTACAGTTTAAATTCTATCTTTTCCCATGAAAACAGATAAGGATATTAGAGTTCCCTGGGACACACCTTTATACAAGTTTCCTTGTAAATATACCTTTTTCAAAAGCAGTCTCCACCCAGCCTTGAGTGGAATGGACCTCCCATAAAATCAACCTTTTGTCAAGCAGATTTATGTTGGGGTGGCAGTTGTTTACTCCCCTGCACTGCATACATCCCACCAACTTTTTAAATGAAAACTAAAGAAAAAATTTAAAGGATAGTGCATACTTATGTGTGTATCTGACAAAATGTGTTACATGACAGAGAGAGAGGGGCACCCCTAAAGCCCAAAACTTGCCTGCTCTAAGAGGGTTCTGCCATCCGCCACAAGACAAAACATATAAAACTTTAATGAAAAGGGACTTTAATACAGTAAATATACAATACGGAACACAAAGAATATAACTCTAAATCAAACACCTGAGGTGACCCATCTCCTCATGGGCAAAAGTCCACCCAAAAGGGATTGGCCCAAAGCAAGGCCTGAAAGCTGCCACAAGACTAAAGCACTTTCTGGCTGGGACCCATGGAAAAGGGTCAGAAATGGCCAGACAAGTCTGGGAGGAAAAGAGCAAAATCAAAATCAGTATAAACACTGCCATAGTCACCTCCTCACGGGTCTCACCCACATCTGCCTTAACCAGTCCAGGGTCAGGAAACAAGCCCGGTTTCTTCCTCACATGCTCGCTGCTCCATGTGGCTTCCTCAGATCTCCTTCTTATTCTCCATCCTGCCTCCTTGTCTTCTTCTCTCTTGATTCCTTCTCTTCTCTCCTTTTTCTCTGCTCATCTCCACCCTCCTGGGTGGAGCAGGGAACCTGGAACTTCCCCTTTTCCTAGGGACCACCCTGTTAGAGAACCATATGGAAGTCACACGTGTCATGATACTTCACCCTGTAAGTGCTTCAACATGAATCTAAAAAAAAAAAATGATTTTTTTCCCCTACATAATTGTAATGCATTATGTGATGTGCTTGTCAGAGTGCCAGTGTAAAGAATCCTGTATCCTTGGATTGTTGTAGGCTGGCAAATAATCAAGCAAACATTAGACAAATTGATAAAAAATTAAATATCATAATAAAATATTTTGTTATAGGGAATAACACACATAATCCTATATAAATTGGAGAGATCCAGTAAAACTGAGTAACAGTTTATGGCTTCAGATGCCATCTTAAATGGCTTGGCTAAGCCAGTGGAGTTAGGAGGAAGAAAGGGAAAGGTTATTTAGGGACTTTACCAAGGAAGGCACTGTAAACAAAAAGTATGCAGCTTTAAGTTCTATCTTCCAGAAATAAGGACATTAAGTATTCCTGGTACCATGATGGAGTTGCCCTTAAGGGAGAGAGCTTGCCTATATACATGTAAATGTCTCTTTCTGAAGAGTCACCTCTACCTAGCCTTCAAAGCCCCTCCCTGAAATAAAGTTCTTGCCTAAAATAAAAGCTTTTGGGGAGTGGAAGGAGGGGGGACAGAGTTTTTGCTTTCCTGCACTCTTTAATTGAGCAAGTTATAACGTTGTTTTCTGTCAGTCTCAGCCTGTTCATGGTGCTGTTACAGGGTAGAAATGTCTGAGGTCGTCCACCTGGGGCCCTGTTACCCACGGCAAGCCCCCCTCACCTTTCCCTGACTGAGGCGATGTTGTGTCAGAGTGGGCTCTTGTGCCTCCTGTGAGGTACACCCCAGCAGTGACCATCCAGACACTTTGAAAAGTGATCAGTCCGGAGGGAGTGTGTCAGGGTCATGACGTGTGGTTTCAGGTGAAGAAGGAGCCCCCATGGGCCTGGGAGTCTGCCTTTATGGGGGCTGAGGTTTCACTGTTCTTTATTGGGGAAATTTAATGCAAAAGAACAGAAATTAAAATATGGGAAGAGAAAAGCAGGGACAGTGCCTACTGTCCAGGTCACCCAGGACTTTCTAAAAAGGAAACTTCGAGGGTGAGCTGCCTGGCTCTGCTTAGCTGTGCACCTGGCAGTCTGTTGAGGAGCTGTCCTTGAAGTGGATACCTTGTCAGTCAGAAGCTAATGGCAGGCACTTCACTCACATTAATCCTTTTGTATTTGAAAGATCCATAAAAAACTTAATGAAAAACTGCAAATATCAGTCAGGCTTTCCTATGAGGAAATGTTCCAACAAACTCAGTTAGTCACTAGATTCCTGTTTAATGCTTGGCTGATATCATAGAGCTTTTCAATAAATGTTACCAATAGGTGACTGCCTAACTAGCAACAGAGAAAAAGAAATAGGGGTGTTTACCACTTTTCAGTCTTTTTTGGCATAAAATGTAACCTGATTTGTTTTTTAATGGAATGGTTGTATAATTGTTGCTCAGACACTGGCCTATGAATTTCTTATGATTGTTAGTGACCAGTCAAGAAACAAAGTTTACTTTGTTAGATATTTAGGCCAGGTGGGCAATGACTAAAGAAAAGTAAATGGCCAACTCTAGTCAGGACTCCAGGAAACACTTGCCAGAGTTGAAGCCCAGGGAGAGCCAAGAAGTGGCAGGAGGAGAAAGGCAGTCCTCCACGCCATCCTATAGGCCGGCCGGGCAAGCCCTGTGGGGAGCAAGAAGCACCCAGAGGTGGGGGGGTTCCTTAATCAGCAGCTTTCCTGCCTATAAAACAACTCCTCTCAGTGCCCCTCCCGCCCAGGGGAAGGACTGAGCTGGGCAGTGACGGGGCAGCGGGCACAGGGCTCTCCTGACTGCGGCCAGGGCTGATAAGCTGCTCCCCAAGAGCATGGGAGGCGGGGCGTGACATAGAAACTGCGCCCGCATGGATAAACCAGCGCCCGGCAGTCCTGTTCAGTGCACCCCACCAGGGGACCAAGTGAGCAGCTCCTGCACCCTGTTTAAGACAAGTGCTCCCAGTGTCGCCTCGCAGCTGCACACCCATGTCTGCCTGTGTGATTTCATCTGCCTCTGAATAGACTTTGCGTCTGCTTCTGCTGAAGATGTGACTGTCAGTTCTCCTCACACCATGGTTAAGGACTGAGGAACGCATAACCCAGAAACCCCAAAACCCAACAAGTTAAGTGGACTAGGCGTTTTCACAGGAGAAAAAGGTGCTGTCGCATGTACTAGTCCCTCCTGTACAGAAGAGTGAGAATTTGCAGAACTCTTTCCTTGTAGAAAACATCATGTGACTTTTCAATAATAAAGATTGTAAATTGCAAGAAGCTTACATGTTTGCTGAGATTTTTGTCATAAATATTTTACGACCTTTGTCAGAGACAAAGAATTTGTCACCCTGCGGACACGGTGTCTGCATCTTAAGGTGGTTCAGCAGCAGAGAGAGGTGGCTTCAGATCAGGCCGGACAGCTTCTGTCTCAGCTGTGCTTTTGTTTTGCCTTTTAGGTATTCCAAATGCTGCTAGCGTTCTTGGAGCAAAATACTGCCAAGGTTTGGGAAATGCTTTATTAGCAAAGTATTGCTGCCCCACAGTAGCTGTATCTTCTTTCCAGTCTTCTGAATTAATAAGCCAACCAAATTTGTTCTGTTACAAGTCTGTTTATTAACATCACATATAACAATGATAAACCCTGAGTCCTCTGACTTTTGTTCCTGAGGCATTGACCCTGCCTTGTACTTTTTTGCGTATCTCACACCGTAGTCTCTGTATTAACTATGTTGTGCTAACATGTACATACTGAGCTAAGTTGAATTACTGTACATATATATGTGTGCGTTTGTGTGTGCATATGGTTTTACAACTAGAAGCAAGGATAAATATTTTGTTAATCCTATGGCTGTAGTGAATTCCAAATCTGAAGACTTGGAGCATTTCATGCTTTGTATAGGTATTGAAATTTTAGATTTTTTTCACACTTAGCAAAGTTGATAATTATTTGCACTCAGAATCTGGATTCTAGGGTAACCTCCAGTCTCTTCATATGTTGAAGGTGGTGGCTCTTTCATAAGGATGTAGGAAATATTTATGTGCCTACAAGACATTTACCTTTGCAGTAGAGAAAATTCCAGTTGCCCATTTAGTATTCTTTGTCTAGGAAAAAAAAAATCTTCCAGAAACCATTGGTTCCATTTTTTCCTATTACTATTACTGGAAACCAGTACAATGTATATGTCTTTTACTACTTTGTATTCTAACGAGTTAGTCAGGGGACTTGGTATAACTGTGGTAAAATGTTCAAAATAGACAAATTCAAATTTTGGGTAAATTTACCATGCCCTCTCAGGGCTATTGCCTGGTAGAAATTCATTAGAAGCAAAGATGTCCAATTTTGTAGAACAAATAAAAAAATATGTCAGCACACACGTGCAATTATGTCATTCCTCCAAAGACTCTTTTTTTATTTTAAGCTCAGCTTAACTAAGAAATGGATTTTGTAGCTTGCTACTGCCATCTACTGGTTCTCAATTTTTGGGCTTCGAGCTACTGATGTAAAATATTTTAAAATGAAAGAATTAGATCTTCATTTATTAGCATCCTTAAAATATTTTTTACTGAGGGTAAGATCAGAATTTTCTTGTGGTCAATACAGTGTTTCCTTTGTTAGTATGCTTTTAGTGAACAGATGCATAAGACTTTCGCCACTGTTGACAGTATGCTGTTTTTCTTAGTTCTGATCAAATCTTTATTTTCCTTTGTCATCCTTTCCTAGTTTAATGGATCGAGAAGTGGCGCTGCTTGCTGAAATGGACAAAGTTAAAGCTGAAGCAAGTAAGACTGATTTTGAATTATAGCTGCTACTAGTTAGTAAGCACCTGCATCTCAACACCCATAGCAAATGCACAGTATGAATATTGCAGTAAAAGTTTACATACCTTGGTTTACAGTCTTGAACAGGTGTGCTGCACCTTCAGGTGAAACAACTTTACAAAGCCAGTTTCTTTTTCTTTTTTAATATTTTCAAATTTTAACATTGTGATATAGAGTTTGTATATAAGAGAACATCATGGTTTCTGCCACTATAACATGGTCTTAAGAAAGTACAGTACCCACATGACTTTTAAAATTTTATTTTTTCTTTGTTTCGGTGATTAAACAATTCCATTAGGTTTTTTCCTTTCTGCTTGGGATGGGGGGAAAAAAACCTTTGGCATACTGACAGGAGACTTTACCAGGTTGCCTACAATTTAGTGTTTACATTCCTATTGCTACCTGGCCCAGAACTCCCCTGTTTTCTTGGCTTGTACAGCAGTCTTCACTCAGTGTCCATGATCTGTCATCATTGGGTGTGGGAAACGTCGTTGATTTGAGGGTTCAGGATACCATGACTAGGGTTTCTAGAAAGCTTACTAAAATTTGTTTTAGAGGAATAGAGTCTAATATGAGTAATTTGTGGGGCTTTATACAGAAGAACCTGCTCTCTTTCTTGTCGATTCTATTTTGGGCTAGGTTAAAGACACACAGCTGTGTGAAAAAGACGAGCTTGTCAGCTGCAGCTTGTGTGGCGGCGTGGATTTGGGGCTTTCGGCAGTAGGTTTTACCTTCATGCACTGAATGCCAGATTCGTAGGTAGGAAGAGTATTTCTTTTAACCTGCTGTCAAACTGGGAAGAATAGAAATAGGTTGAGATGCTGACACAGTTAAAATATTTGCATCTACAGTCATGGACCGAAGGAGGCAGCTTGGGAGCATTGAGCTTAGTTTAGTTTTCATCTGCTTTAACAGAAAATACTGAGTCCATAACAGAGATTCTTTTCACTGTTTTTCAGAGATGATATTTTATTTAAATGAGTGGTAGATGGTAGAATTTCTGAATGTGACAGTTTCAGTCTGTTCTTTTACTTATGTGTTTCTTTGAAGTTTCAGATAAAGTAGTCAGAAGACAGTCCTTACTTTTTAGAAGGTACTTTTTACAGTGGCTCTTTCATAGAAAATTTCACTTATTTCAAAACGAGAGACTCATATAACTTAAAATCCCATCACCCAGTTTCATCAACTTTTTTAATCTGTATCTGTTTTTCTCCCATGTTGAAAATCCTGGTTCTTAGTGATTCTAATATAATTACTCAGTTATTAATATTATTAAGAAGGGGCTTCCCCCTCCACACACACACACGCACACATTATAATTTTAGTAACTTACACGTTCTTAGTATTTCAGAGTTTAGGATTTTTTCACATTCATTCACATATGATCTTCATATCAACCTTATAGATTAGGGTTGTTTTTTTTTTTCCCCCACTTCATAAATGAAGAAATTCATTCTTTGAGATGAAATGAGTTCCCTCATATGTAGAAATCTCTACTTGACACATTTTCTCCATCTTAAGAAAATTGTATTTTAGAGTCCTAGAAGACTGGAGCAGTGTGGAAGTAAACTTGCAACAAGTGGCATGCAGGCTTTATCTCCTGGCTGGGCCAGTGGGTCGTGTGTAGCTGCTGGGCTTGCTGTGCTAACTCTGTGGGCATGTTCCTCACTGACTGAGAACGCGTGCCCTTGTTGTTTGAGCTGACATGGGTATGAGAAACACGTCAGTGGCATCTATGTAGCATAATCAGGCTGAAAACTTGCTGAAGATACTCAGCTTTCTGAAATTCCTGGTACAGTTCTTTGAAAATCCTATTTATTTTTTTCTGAAATAAATTTCTCTAATCTCTCAGTAGCAGTCTATTTGGACAGCAGTTAGGAAACGAGTTGACTACATGCAGCAAAGTGGTCTGTATAAATGAGATTTATTTTTATCTCATTAAATGAAATGCCCAGAGGTAAGCAATCCGGACTGCTGGGTAGCTCCACAATTAAATGCGGGATCCAGGCTTCTCTGTCCTTCTACACGGAGACACAGTTCGTTTCTGGCTAGAAGGTACCGCCTCAGGCTGTGGAGTTGAAGTTAAAGTGTGGCGTGCTTACTAATACTCACTTAGAGAACTTTCCTTTAACCCGCCTGCGCCTGTGAGTTTGCTCAGGTCTCAGTGGCCAGACTGTATCGCATAACCTATCTGTAACAAAGCTTAGAAATGGAGCTTTCTGCCTAAGCACTTTGGACTGCTTGATAGAAAAAAGGGACAATGGATATATAGTTGCCAGCAGTTTTTGCTACCATTCCTCATCTCAGCTACCTGCTTCTACCTTTTTCTGAAATGTGCACACTCCCTCGAAGTGAGCATACACCTCCAGAGTTTCAGCTGCCTAGTAAATTCATCTGAAAGTCCAGGGCTTCTGGATAATTCTTAACTTGCAACTGAATATGGCATGTTGTGGTCTGGGGTTCCATCAATTAAAACTTACATCTCCTTCCTCCAATATGACGTAGAGAAAAAAAAAGCGAATAGTTATAATAAAAATTCTCAGTTGGAAAAGTGATGGTCAGATCTTACTGGACAAGAACAGCAGACCTCCTGCCCTTGGGTAACATGCCGTGCTTCATTCTCAGTGGCTCTCTAGTTCTGCTTCCTAGTAGAATTTTGCCCATTGTATTCTGAAGCCTTTGACTTTTTACTCAGAAAATGTTACTATCTGTATTCTCCATGCCCACACGTGAGATACATTTTGGGTACATTTTGGGAGTGTGCCAGAGAAAACGTGTCTTTACAGGCTGTGACCATCGGTGGGCTCTGTGCACTCCCATGGTCACTGCAGCTGCTTACAGTAGCCAAGTTAAGGAGCCAGCCTTAGTACCCACGGGCAGAGGAGTGGGTAAGAAAATGCAGTGTGTGTGTGCAGTGGAATACTGTGCAACTGTAAGGAAATGAACTCTTGCCATCGCAGCAACGTGGATGGAATGGAAGAGGATAATGTCAAGCGAAATAAGCCAGAAGGAGAAGACAAGTTCCAGATGGCTTCATTTACATGTGGACTGCAGGGGAACAAAAGAAAGGGTCAGACAAAGCCAAAACAAACCCTTGACACTGGACTGCAAAACTAAGGCCACTTGAGGGGCTGGTGGCGGAGTGGACACAGGGAAAGGAGCGACACCCAGAGGGTCACGGAGGAGGGGGCATCGATGGAGGCAGGGTGTGCAAATACACAGTTGTAGAGGTTTGAAGCTGTAAGCCCTTAAACAGATACAGTGATGTAAACCAACTTTACCTCAATAAATATGAAATAAGGCTATAAACAATCTCCATGTTCACACATAGAAGAATAGTGAGGGAAATCGGGGTATTAATAGGGAATGAACTTCAAGATACATGAAGTAAAAATAACGATGGTCAAGAGAGGGTGACATGATTATCTCCAGTGTGTGGGGCGGGAAAGAGGTGTGTTTGTCAGGAAGGGACTCTGGTAGTGTTGTCAGCAGCAGCAGTACTCTGGGGAGAAACCAAAAGTCAGAAGTAGTAGGGACTGTTGCTTTTCATTTTACACCCACTTTTTCTCCATCAACTTTTTATCACATGTGCATAATTTATATTCTTCTTGATTAAAAAAAATTTAACTGGGAACAGAAAATGATAAATGATGTATGAGTCTTCATGATTCATTAAAAGTATTTATCACTTCACTGCCCACGGAGTCCCTCTAGAAGGTGGAAACTAAACCTTTGGTATTTTATTTTCTGAATGGGTGGGCAGCTAAGTCTTTGTATGTCCAGATACATGCTGCAAAGTCTGTGGTGGAAGTTCTGTATCCTGTTTAGCAGAATGTAAGAGTCATGTTCCTTTTTTCTCTTCAGTGGAAATTCTGCTCAGCCGACAAAAAAAAGCTGAATTTCTAAAGAAGATGACTGATGTGGCCGTTCGGATGTCAGAGGAGCAGTTGGTTGAGCTCAGAGCTGATATCAAGGTAAACTTTCTTCCGTTCTTTGCCTTTCTTGTTACCCTTGGGGAATAAATAGTAAGTCTCCTTATTCATACCCATATGCAGTCTGTTGAACTCAGCATTTAGTCTCCCCAAACCCGGCCCTCTTGGAATTTCCTTACCTCTGTAAATGGTGCTATCATCTAGCCAAGTCGTCCAAGCTGAAACCTTAGGAAATTTCTCCTTCCACATGAAATCTGTCAGCACACCCTGCCATTTGACCGACCATAGATCTCAGGTGACCTTTTCTGTTCATCTCTACCACCCCGATGACGATAAAGCTACGGTGACCCATTGCTTAGCCTCCTTAATAGCCTCTAACTGATTCCACCCTTGTAACACTGCCTCAGAGCTCTGCATGATCCCCCCCCCCCCGCCGACGCCAGCTTACTTCTCAGCACGTTCCTTGTCTCTCTTCTCCAGCCATGTTAGCTCAGCCTTTGAGCAGACAGCACCTGTCCCTGCTCGCTAGAGGACTGCCACACTTGTGTTTCCAGAGGTCCAGAACATGCTTTTTCACCCTCACTCCCCTACTCCCAGCACACGTGATCACTCAAGACCTGCTCATCCTTCCATCTTTCCTTACCACGTTTCCCTATTTTGTGTCTTGATAGCACAGTCCTAACTTTATGTGCATTTGATTAATTCTTCCCATTAGGTTTTGAATCTTACAATGTTACGAGCTGTCTCTAGGGCCAAGCACAGTGCCTATCACAAAGTAGGGATTCAGTAAATGTTTAGAAAACTGGTTGCTTGATTCTAACTTTATAGGGAAGAAAATGAGTAATTTGAGATGTTGAGTATATTATAATGTATTTTACAAGGGTTCCTTGGGTTCACATATATACATTTTTATGTAAAGAACAGTTTCTAAGACTGCATGGGGACCTGAGAGAGGTTGGAATATTCATGGGTATTTTTGGACACTGGCATTCTACATAATTGTTTATAAACCGTAAGCTACATGAAAAGGGGAGTCGGCCTTCTGTCCTCCTAAGCCGTGAACCTCTGTTCTTTCTGAACATGTAAGATTTATTGCAGTGTTTAAAAGTAACACTTGATGCAGAAATATATGGCCTTTCTAAGATAAAAACAGAAGTGGAAGGTCATCTGAGATCTTAACTATTATTCTGACCCAGTCTCGCTCCAGACCTGTGTCATTTATTATTCTCTTCCTCCTTCCTCTTAGGCTCTGTTGGGTGAAATAACGAAATAGATTTTAAATGACGATTTTCTGATTAATTAAAACTACATTGCTAAACTTTATAGAAAGTCTCCTTCACATCTGTGTCATTCAACTATGGGACAGCCCTTTAGAATTAGATGAGAATTCTGGCTCTTGAAGGTTTAATCTTTTCTTCTTTCCCACATGGCTAAAAAGCTGCTAGAAATACTTCCGCAGGCTGATCTATGATCAGTTTCTCACAACATTTCCAATACACTAAAGTGTCATCTAACTATCATCTAAATACCTTATTTCCAGGTCATTCACCTCATTATTCTTAAGTCGTTGGCTCAAAAAAAGTCCTCGAATCTGAGCCCTTCCTGGTGGCGCAGCGGGTTAAAGCTATGGAGCTGTCCGCAGCCACCGCAGCACGAGTTCAATCCCTGGCCAGGGAGTGACCCACAGGGTGCAGCAGACCTCTCCTGTCTCCTGCTGCTCTCCAAAGCAATGTGTTTCGGTCAGTCTGCCTGCTCTGTTCCCTACTCTGTCTCTGGTGAATCCTTTCACCCCCCATACCTCTGGCCTGCACCCCAGTTCTTGTGTGCATACATAAATATTAGGGTAAAAACCCCTGAATTAGTTTCATAATTCATCTGTCTGATACATGTGTGAAGGTGTCATTCCAGAGGTGCATGTGCTTTCCCGAGTCTCCGTATACTCTGCAGCTTGGCGTTTAAAGAGCCAGAGTCGCTCTAGTTCTCCTTTCCCTTTTACTGCTCCTAGATGGTTTGTGAGGATTCTGGTACATCTGATCCGACGCCTTGAAAGGCCAAAGAGAAATTGGACTACTCCTAGTTAGAGAACCGCTGAGCTTTAGTTCATCTAAACTACATGTAGGCTTTTAACTTTTCTTTTTTAATCTTAAAAAGAAAGTCCTTTAATCTTAAGGGATCAGCCCCCCAGGAAACGCCTTTAGCCTCCATAGCAGCTCTTTGCTCCTCATACGTTTCTAGTCACAGTTTCTGCAGTATAGTTAGTTTTTGACCTGACAGGTTGGTTGCTTCTCAGTTTAGCCTGCTTAAAGCATTAAATCACTTGTAGCATAAACTCTTTGCGAAGTTGACTTCTCACTCTAATGATTTTCCATCCTAAGAAATTGTTTGTTTCAAGAACTAAAAAAAAATGCCACTTTCTAAAGAGATGAAGTAAGTTTCCTAAGGATGTTCCTATTAAAGAACACTAAACCGACTTGGTGATGGGAAACCCGCGGGGATTACAATTGAGATGGGAAAAAAAAAATGTACAAAATGATGTAAAAATAAACTTTTGTAATAAAAAAAAAAGACCACCAAACCAGCTATTTACATTATTGTAACTTATGAGCATTTTGCTGCCTCTGTTTCTACTTAAAAATGGCACAGTGTGGCGTCCGCGGTGGGAAGGCCCTTACTGTCACTCTCCTTTCTCGAGGGTCTTTTAAACCTAGTGGGCTTTGACCATCACGTGGCATTCTGGAAAACTCCCAGATATACTCATCTTGGACTCTTAAAAGTGACTGAATTTGATCAGTCACCCATTGGTAAAAGGAAGGCCATTTAGTAAACCTGAAGCAGTAAAAAGACATTGAAATGACTGTTGCAGTCTGTGTGCGCCAGACTGCGGGTCTGCGGGGATACCGCTTGTCTCACCCAGCGTGCTTTTTCTTCGCCCCTTTCTCCAGCACTTTGTTAGTGAACGTAAATATGACGAGGACCTGGGGCGAGTGGCCCGGTTCACCTGCGATGTAGAGAGCCTGAAGAAGAACATTGATTCATTTGGACACGGTGAGATGGGAGAAGGGGGCCGCCCGAGCCAGTGCTGAGAAGCCCGGCTCTGCCTGCTCGAGGCTCAGGCTCCTGTTGGTCTCCTTCACTTGCTGCTTAGTTGGGAGGTGTGTAGACTGTCGTAGAGGACCGTGGACTCTAGTGTCAGGTAGTTTGAGTCTTTGCCTCTGCACTGACTTTACCCCTTTCACCCCTCTTCAGTAAGGAGTGAGCAGAACCCTTGCCCTGCAGAGAGTAGATTCTGAAATAACAGTTTGGGGGGGCACTGTCTGTCAAGTCAGTTTGTGGTGACACCTCAGCCACACCCTGCCCAGTTCAGCACCTGTGCCCTTCCTGTATAAAAGTGGACCCAGGGTAGTGATTGTGAATTCAGCATTTGTCCAGGCATAGAGGCAAGAAAGAAATGGAATTTTAACAAAATTTGAATTGAAATATTAATATTTTTTCAGTTAGATTTGTATTTTTAATTTAGGATTATTTTTGCATAAAGACCCTTAGGAAAACACATTTGTTGTAAAAACTAGTTTTGTTTAAGTAACCTCAATTATTTATAATCATTTCAAACTTGTAAAAAATATTTAGCTTTTCACTTAATGTTTTTGATCTTTGCAAATTCGGTACTTCAGAGTATACCTTGCATAGGGTGCTAGACAAACAATCCGTGCTGTTGTTCCAGGGGCTCATCAGTGCTGGAGCCATAGCCAGGAGCTAAGGAATAGGAAAAGCCACGGAGTCACTCGTTCGTGTGGTGATGGTGTCTTTGCTCTTAAGCAGCTCCTGGCCTTAAAAATCCCTTTAGAAAGCAGTGGTGATTTGGAGGGAGTGGAGGGATGGAGCAGAAGGGAGATTTTTCTTCCTTTTCTCCATTTTGTGAACATTTCTCTATAACTATTCAAGTGGGCAGCTCCTTATTGTGAAATGAAGAAATAAGGAAAACCTTACCCATGATGCTTTTCCACAAATTTCTCATATTTGTTTCAGTGTCCCATCCAAAGAATAGCTACTCTACCAGATCCCGATGTAGCTCAGTGACATCTGTGTCCTTGAGTAGCCCGTGTGATGCCTCTGCTGCTTCCTCTTCCACCTGTGCCTCTGCTCCCAGCCCTACAAGTGCTAACAAGAAAAATGCAACACAAGGAGAGACACCTGCAGCTGCCGCAAACTCTAGTGGCCGGCCCCACCAGCTTCACCCAGAGGTGACATAGCCTCTGCCCTGGGCAAGTCAGGAAGAAAGCTGCCGGATTGTCATGGGTTAAGCGTTGGCAGCTCAGTACATTACCTTCCTCCCTTTATACCCATTTCTATCTATTTTGAATCCTCTAGCCACAGTTGCAGAGAAAGCATTTGGTGTGTATGCTTCAAACCGCCAGCCAGTTTAGCTTGCCTGTTGCCAAGAAGTGTTGACTTTCTGATGCTGGCGGTGATCCTAGCCTTTGTAGGTAGGATCACCTAGTAATTAGTCACTGTGGGAGCTGTGCACCCAATTCAAGGTAGACGAGCACCACAGTGGCAGATTTGCCAGAACACGTCAGAAGCAGCAAGTCAGCACAGTGTGGGACATGCAGGGAGAGAGAGCGCCTGCTGGGGCGGAGCGAGCGCTAGGAAGCCCGAGCCTGTGCTCGTCCCCTTGGTTTGAAGGAGACGGACGCAGCCTGAGGCAGTGCCGTCTTCAGGACTAGTGTGACGTTGGGATCAGGAGTCAGAGATACTGCCGTGCCTTAAGTTTCCTGGGTTGTAACAAAAGGTGTACTGAATGTCAGGCTGGCTTAATCTAGGGGTCGTGGTTATGGCAAAGCTGTAACGTTTATTATCCTAAACCTTCGTTATCTTTACAGATGGCTTCACAGCTCTAACTTCAGGCATGTGATAAGGTCTTTGCCCAATTGAAGGCTTGTAACAACCCAAAAGATGTCCATTCTTCCTTCTTAGCTTTATTCTTTTGCCCAGTTAAAGAAAAATGAACTCCTTTTCTCTTCAGTGGAGAAAATCTCAGGAGTGAAAGACAGGGGGGAAATAGTGACATACTTATTGTCATGTTGTGACTAGGTTGGATTGGCTGACAGAACTCTGCATCTTGAGAGATGCCTAAATTCCAAGTGTGGGGTATCACAATTATGCTTTCAGAACACTCCTGCAAACTGAACAAATTGAACGGGAACAAGGTGGGTATCATCATGCCAAGGTGCTGTGAACATCGTGTTCTCTGCCCCCAGGTACTGCTGGGGGACCGAAGAGGAGGCCAAGGCCACAGGCCGCAAGCCCAGAAGTCCAGCGGCCCAGCGAACCAAGGGCGGCATGGCAGTGCGGGTCGCCACAGAAACAGCTCCTGGTGCTCATCCGGCCCCAGGTACCAGAGTGCTGCCCCCGCCCAGGCTCCGGGGAACACTGATGAGTGGGGCCAGGCTTGCGCCACCGGGGCCGGCGGACCTGGAGCCAGCGCAGAGCCGGGCCCCAGGGCCTCGGCCCGGAAGGGGCTCCCGCAGCGCAAGCCCAGGACCTCTCAGCCTGTGAACGCCTGAAGGGACTTCCAGTTGCCTCGCTTCTGTCCCACATTTTGACTTGATAACTGGACGTTGGGAAACTTATAGTTAGATTTAATAACAAAAAAGTTTACTCATATCACTTTTTGTGCCATTCTAAATATTTTTGGTTTCCTCTTTCACTTCTTCTTTATCATTTTTGGAAGGGAAGCTGTTTTTTTCCCTTGACCTTTCCCAATGATATGGATTGATTCTGATTGGTCATTCATTGCCACCAGGAATCATAGGCAACTGTTGCTAGGTTTCTCACGGGTAAGCGGCGTCCCTCCCTGTGCAGGCTCTCCGCTGCCTGAAGGAGCCTTCCTCAGCACCCCCCTGGGCGGCTGTCTCGGGGAGGCGGAGATGGACCAGCGCTCCTTCCTGTCGCCTTTCAGTCCCAGTGGAGGATTCCCTGTGAGCAACAGCTAACAGGGAAGGCAAGGAGGGGATGTGTACGGCTTTAAGCAGCGTGAGAAGGGGACGTTCAATGGGCAAAAAGCAAGGACGCTAGGAGACGTTGAGCACCTCTGTACCCAGAATCAGGACGCACCTGAGAGTGACGCTCAGAGCAGGGTGTCAGCCTCCTGCTTGGCCACCTCGCTTACCCTGCGCCGTCTTCAGAATGCCTGACACCTTGTTTGCTCCTAGCCTAGGCCACAAGCCAGTCTAGGGCAGTCTCTGGGAAGGTAGCATTTCATTAAAGTTTAAAAAAAGAAAAGTATTTCTTTGTTTCAGTGTTTAAAGATTTTGTTGTTGTTACTGCCTTTCCCGAATTCCTTATTCTGATCCTGAACCAAATTTCTAGCAATATAATGAGTGTGAATCGAAGGTGTTACCTATCAAATAATTGCCATCAGTCTTTACAGCTGAATAAATAAAAACAACTGCATAAATATTCACACATTTGTTTCACAGCAACAAGTGACTTCATTTCATTATCTTTTTCTTTGATCTCGTGGAGTACAGTTCACTCAGTCCACCTGTTAGTGTAAACGAGGGGTCTGGCTCCTAAGTGCTTGCCCACTGCTTATCTTTAGAACCAAATTAAAATGGGAAAGCCAGGATGAGCAAAGGCAGCTGTCCCTTGTGGGAAGGGGCCCCTAGGGCACGGAGTGGGGACTTGCCCACAGGAGAGCTTACTGGTTCAGAAAAGCCACAGCTGCCAGCAGCTCTGCCGGGCAAGCAGAGGTCACCCCCCCCCCCCTCCTCGCCCCTCCGCCCCGTGACAGGAGAGAAGCAGCAGCACAATGGCGCCTGCGCGGAGTAGGTGGTATCAGTGCCAGAACCCCACCCCCCGCCCCCCAAATCTGTGCTTTAATAACAGCAGGGCCTTTTTTTCCTCCAGCATTTGCTCTTGCAGTCCGAAGCCCAGATGCAAGTGGCAGTGGTGCAGAACTTAGCTGCCTCGGGGCTTCCCTGGCTCTTCAGCCGAAACGAGCCAGGGTTCAGGTTGGTTGAACAGATTGGAAGCGTGTGCAGCCTCGCACGTGTGTCTTTCAGTGGAGAAAACAGTAGCCGGAGAACACTGAGAATCCATTTTCTAAGGGATCAATCACCTCATTTTGGGGACTTTATCCAGCAACACCAGCAGCCTACTGGGTGTCGGGAAAAGGCCATGCTTTTCTGAATAATTGCGCGTGCTTAGGAAATGCAGAAATTGAAGCGACCTTGAAGGAGTATAAGGTCTACTACCCTTGTATCCAGAGAGATGGGAGCCACGGTTGTCATAACTACCTTGAAGTTGAAATTAAAATCCCCATATAGGAAAATATTTGAAGATTTGTTTTCTATGACCATAAAACGTTTGCCTGGAAATTATGGAACTTTTTTTAAAAAGATTTTTTTTAAACTATACTAAAATATTTAAAATACTCCAGAAATGTAGAATGTAAAAGCTAGCTTTCCATCTTCCCATTATATATCTCAGGTCATCACTGTTACCAAGTTGGTGTATATCCTCATGCGGCTTTTCTTTTAAATATTTATTTATTTGTGCATATGGAGCGGGGGTACAGGCCAGAGGTGCAGGGGTGGTGAGAGGATTCACCAGAGACAGAGTGGGGAGCATAACAGGCGAATTTACTGAAACCCACTGCTGAGGGGAGCAGTAGGCGGGACAGGTGAGGTCTGCTGAGCCATGTGGGTCACTCCCCTCGCCGGGGATTGAACTTATGGTGAAGCAGCTGCAGCCAGCTTCTCAGTGCTGCACTGTAACCCACTGCACATAAGGTTTTTCAAAGCGTGTGTGTGCAATGATACCTAGGCTTTCAACCGTTTGTAAAGAAGGACTCATACTGTGTATACACTCCATAATTCTTTTAAAAATCCAATGTCTACCATGACTTATTTAGGATTTCATGCTGTATCCTGTTTCTAACTTGGCTAGCTTGACTTTCTTTAATGAAGAGAAGTTAAGTTTGTCTTAAGTTTGAACTGTCTAGCTCATCTCTTGTTTCTCAGTGGCTCCCTAGAGAAGAGAGGCGTCAGGCCCTGGTGAGATCCGCTGGATGGCAGAGCGCCTGCTTAATCCTCACTCTGCCTGCCTGCCCTTTTGGGTTTCCAATGAGAGATTAATGTTTTGCCTTTTCCCAACCTAAAGATAGAACTGAGATTTCTGATAGTTTAACTGTCGGTTATGTTCCTCTTGAGAGAAGTTAAGTTAGCATGACATCATTATGAGGATCAATTTTTTCCTAAGCTCTTTATGGCAATTTCTAAAATTACTAAAAAAGTCTAGTTTCTTTCTTTTTTTTTTTTTAAAAAAAAAAGATTATTTGTGCATATAAGAAATGGAGTGTACGTGGGGCGTGGGGGAGATTCACCAGAGACAGTGGGGAGCAGAACAAGTGGATCTACTGAGATACACTGCTGAGGAGAGCAGCAGGCAGGTCAGGAGAAGTCTGCTGCGCCATGTGGGTCACGTCCGTGGCCCCGGGGACCAAACCCTTGCTGCAGTGGCTGTGGACAGATTCAGAGTGCAGTGCCCTAACGGGCTGTGCCACCAGGGAGGGCCCTCTCTTTCATAAAAAGTATGAAAGTCATGCCCCCATCTCCAGACATACAGTCATTATCAACCAAGAGAAAGTGTAATGCTGGGTTGTCGGAAAAGTCATGATGCATTTTTTGCTTGCAAAACAGGAAAAACAGAACGTGACTTTCCCGAAAACCCAGTGGTCCAGCCATCCGGTTCCTCCTGCAGCTGCCCTGTGAGCACATGCCCGCCATGGTGAGCTTTGTGCCCATCCTGACCTGCCTGCTTCTCCCAGAGACGTGCACCACTGCCCCTAGTGTCTGAGCTCCTGGGCGGGGCAGGCCAGAGGCTGGTGGCACTGAGCCTGGGCAGCACGGGGAGGCTGGAACACTTTCCAGGGAGAGCCAGGGACCATCACTTCCATAGGGGTACTGGGCCTTTTTACCGCCTGCTGTGAGGCTCCTTACCAAGCGGGGAAACACCGCGATAGACTTTGCTGGTGAGGGCCTCACCAGCACCCCACCACCAGAAGCCCAGCTTTGCTCAGGCCACCCGGCCTTTCACCACCGTCAAACAGAAACAGACACCACCTGCCCGGACTGCTCAGCGCAGTGTTGTGTCTTCAACTTAATCATCACACTTTCTCTGTAACGTAATTTCAAGCCTATTTTCTGATGCTGCTATTGGAATTCTCAGACCAACTTGCTAGCACCAGGTGGACTGTCCCCCATAGCACCCCTGAAGACAGACAGTGTCTCCTTCTGGCGGGAAGTCCAGATTATTCTTCTCTGTGGACATGCTGCAGTCGCTGTGATCACTCGCCAGAATGCCCATGCCCTCTCTTCACTACAGGGCTTTTTTCCTAGGACAGGGCAGAGCCTCTTGGCATGGCGGCGCGGGAGTGAGCAGTGAATTCTCTTACGAGCCGTGTGATGTAAACAACTCATTTATACCTGTTAACAAGTCGCGGACCTCTAGAATTTCCTCATTTGAAAATGTAATGTGGTTGGTTCACATTAGCTAGTATCCTTCACTAAAAAGAATGACCTAGAATGAGGAAGGAGAGGGAGGTCTCAAAGTATTCCAGAGTGTTTTGGTGGGAGCAGGGAACCTTCAGGGAGGCTTCACCCTGAGCTCGTGTAGAATCCAGCACGCGCTGGGGGTGCTCAGGGGCCTTTAGCGACAGTTGCTACCACGAAAAGCCATCTCATGCTCTCCACAATCCTCAGAAAAAGCCTTTCACAAATGAAGGAACTGTAAGGTCCGCACCCTCCCCCAGTTGCCAGCTGGTCAGTGGCAAAATTCCATGGTCACCCAGTCTAGCCTGACCTGAAGAGGTGAGACGCCCCAGGCTGCACATCTAGGGCCTGGCAGCACTAGGCATGGCTGGGCCCCAGGAGGGAGGGCAGTGGCCCTGGGCTCTGTCCTCTCCTCGTCCTCGAGAGCCACCTGCGCCCTCACCCCTGTGCCAGGCAGCAACGCCTGCGCTTTGGGGTGGAGAAACTTCCTCCTCCTTTGTGTCTTGAGCGTTTCCCCCTGCTAGGCTCTCCCCCTTCCCGTTCCTTTCGTAGATGGCACTCCCACAGGCCTCCCACGCAGCGCCAAAACACAGCCTCCCAGTTTCTTGTTGACAGTGACTTTGAGTTGTCTCTGAGCAGGGCTCCCCCTCAGCCTTCCCCTCCCTGTGACTCCCCACCGAGGCCAGGATGAGTCAAGAGCTGGGGGGTGGGGAGGCACAGGAGAATGTGGGGATCCCACTGTCCCCCCCAGTACTGTCCCCACTGGCCCCTAGGACCCCCCAGGGCCCTGTTCAACCCTCCCCAACTTCCATCTTACTTTCCTACACTGGTGGGTAGGTCACTGCCTCTTGGGGTGGGGGTGGGTGGAGAAGGCAAGGAGTTCCACACTGAGAACTAAGGGAACCTGTAGGCCAGGCCTGGCCAAAGATCTGGGGGAGAGGTAAAGGGGCAGAGAGGAAACTGGACAGACCCTACACCCAGACACCACCCTCCAGATAGAAAAGATTCCTGAAGTCAGGCTAGCACCACTCCCCAAACTCACACACAGATTCTTTGAAGGATGGTGGGGAGAGGGTTTAAAGGACAAAATGGGTTGGTAGGTTCTGGGACAAGAAGAATGGTCAAAGCATTCAATACATGTGAGTATCACCAAACAGCACAAGTGTTTTTGTTGGGACTGTTGGAGGATAGTTAATGTCTGCCTCAAAATTTTCACCTGTAAATTGGTAGTTACAGTAAATTCATGGAGTTATGATGAAAATCAATAGGATAGGCCCTTCCTGGTGTCACAACAGGTTAGGACGCAGCACTGCAAGCTGCTTCAGTGCGAGTTCGATCCTGGCCCCAGAGCTGACCCACATGGCGCGACAGACCTCTCCTGACTGCTCACTGCTCCCCTCAGTAGAGCACTTCATCGATCTGCCTGTTCTGCTCCCCACTCTGTCTCTGGTGAAGCCTCTCACCCACCCCCCACCCCCGGGCCCTCTAGCCTGTACCCAGTTCTTGTGTGCATAAATAATCCTTAAAAAAAAAAAAAAAGACGTAATGTCCAATACCACCCCAGCCCAGATAAGGCAGGACCAGCCAGCCGAACTTGCAGCTTACAGGGGTGACCCAGGACCTCTTGGGTCTGATACACAGCCCAGCCCACCAGGCCTTGTGAGTGCCCAGCTTGCTCATGGTAGGGGTGAGTATGATGGGCCTGGCACTGGTAGATTGTCAGGTGCCAGCCTTGTCTTCTACCAACATGGGTACCTCGAGGGAGTTTCTGTCTCTAGCTCTGCCGTCTCACTTGTGAAGTGGAGGGTACGCGGCGGAATCTCTTCGGCTTATTTCCTGGGACTCCTGTAAAGATCCGAAATCAGGCGATAAAACATTTGCATGAGTCAAGTGTCACATTAATTT